ACTAATCTCTTGTGCTACAATTGGCCTCAGCTGGACGAAGGGCAAGGTTTTAATAACAGCAATTAGGTAAGAGCAAGCTGGTACTGATGCCTCACCACTGCTTGGCACTTCCCTGCTCCCTAAGACTATACAGTCTGAGCTTTCACACATAAGTGGGATATTTATGGTGTTCAAGGAAATGTTGCATACAGTTTAATAGAGAAAATATCCATAAATCTACATTACATGGTTACTCATTGTATTTAGTAATCAAATTTCATTATTACCTGGCTCCCTGAACAGTGCTTTCTCTGGTTTATCTTCAGTTTCAAATTATATCTTATAAGACTAGGTCAAACCGTAAATTCCTTGTAGTAGTTTATAACTTATGTTAATGTGTGGATATGGTATTTACCCTGATAGGACTTAAGACTTAAAGCATTCACTTTTTACTAATTAACCACAGAGAAATTACCTTAATATCTTAGCACATTGAAGACTATAGCAAAGGTATTGCTATTAATTAAAATTCTACAGTACTCTTCAAAGAAGAATTTTCAAGTACAAAATAATTATTATGGAAAAAAATCAGGAGTGTAATGTAACATCTAAACAGTGATAAAATAAGAAGCATAAAATGTTTCTTCAAAGCTCTAGTTCTAAGAAAAGTTTTGCTCATGAAAATGTCTATGAGTAAATGTATTTGTGCAATTTCATTCAAAGGGCACAGATTTAGTATAATCCTATTCATGGACATAAAGTTTAGAATAACTGGGATTTTAGTACTGTTTTTAGTCCTATTTTTCTTAATAGAGATTGAATGTTACAGTGATTCTTATATCCTTACTTCATTGTTTATGACTTAAAAGAACTCTAAATACTGAACAACAAAAGTTGCTGCCTTTAGTTTTGATTTTTATCCTCTGGGAGGATTCATGGAGGATTCATGGAGGACTATTTGGCTATTTTGTAAAAAATATTCTAATTGATTATATACATTCCTCCTTCCAATTTAAAAATGACAAAAAAAAATAGAATTTATATTTCAAAAATAGTGTTTCTGAGGCGAGATCGCAGATGTATGGAATAGACCTAATATCTGTCATTATTAAGGTCCTGGTATTGTACTGTGTGTTTTCTCATAAAAATGATTATAGCAACCAAATTTTAATTGCCAAAAGAATGCTAATAATATGAAAATATTTTCCCTTCTGGTTAGAGAGGAGTTGATCCAATTATCAGTTAAGATAAATAGAAGTAACACTGATGAGGCCCAATATGCATAAGTCATTAGTTATTTAGCTAATAATGCACACTCCAAAAAAAGAACTGCAAATCTCATGTAATAAAACACTATGTAAACACCAATGTCATGTAAAAAAAAACCACCAGTCTAGCATGGAGGATTTTGCATGGTACCAGAAATATCTATAGAAGATGTTATGTAAGTATATGACTTGTTCCAGATCCTCTCTGGAGGCAGATCCTAGGAAAGGAAGTTCATGAGTGCAGTTGTGTTTTTTTAAATGAATGCACACAGAGTATGTGATTTCTATCCAATACCCACCGCAAAGTTATATGCTTTTGGCATGAAAACTGCAGCCGTATCTCCGCAAAGCTTTAACTGTGTTGGAATGCCTGTTTTTCACAGCAGAAGTGTTGGCATAGCCACCCGACCAGAAAGCAGAAAGATGCTGTGGGTCTTTGTCATCAATATGCAAGTATTTGGATTGAAAATGCCAAAAATTAATTTTAAATTGCCATTATATCATTCTGCAAGCAGAAAGTACATAAATAAATGGGATGGATAAATTGCTGCCTATTATTTCCTCTATTATATAATTTTGGATAGGGTACAAAAATTTTTTACCACCATCCAGTTAAAAATCTATAGAAAATTTTCTGAAAATACTCCATCATTCATTCTTCTCGTAACTACAGATGAAAGGATCCATTTCTATTTTATGACAGTTAGTAATTAAGCACGTACAGTACTGTGCCAATATTTAATACACAATGTAGAAGGAGCGAGCCGAACAGACAGTAAATCTGGCAGATTTCACATGGAGTGGCACTGCGGGAATACACATGTGTGATCAGCCACGGAGCGTTGCAACGAAATACTGTAGCAGCAAACGGCTCCTCCAGCTGCGTGAGCAACCAGCTAGCTAGACTCCTTGCTCTCTTCTGCATTTGGAACAGAAATGACACAAAATATTTTACCCTTGGTACGACTTGAAGGAACCAGATGAGACTTTGGAAGTTGAGATCACTTTGCTGCTTTTGTAGGGCAATAAAGCAATATGGAATAAACGAGTCCCAAAGAGCTTCTTTTGATTTCCTTCCTGCCTCACATCATTGTTTTTTTTCCCTCCATCTCACTGAGTAATTTTCAAAAAGCTTCCGTATCTTGTTTGGATTGCCTTGTTTGTTCTCCTTTCTGCTGCTTTGTGTTGGAAAAGCCGTGCTCATGGCAAGGGTATATTCTGGCATAACTTCCTCAACCTTTTCCTAGTACGGACAGAATCTGCTTAAATAACTTAGTCTTTCTCGTGCTGAAATGATCAGAAATGTTCCTTTTCTTTTTCCCCTTGAAGTTAAGATGCATCTCTACCAAATGTCTGTGATGTAACCAAGAGGATTCTTCTGGCTACAAGCTGGTATTCAGAGTGCCTGCCTGCATCTGCACTGCCCAAGGCACTGCTCCTGCTCCCCTGAGGTCCAGCTGCTACGGGAGACAGGCAAGGTAGAGCAAAAGCATTGAAAGCCTCAACAGCCCCAAAGCATTCTTTCTTTTTCTCTTTTCTCTAGGTCTGACTAACTTAGCTGCAGAAGTGTATATTTTATACGTGTCTAAGACTAAGATAAACCTGTAAAAAATCCTACCCAAAGACTTCTCAGGCTTATCTCCAGGCTGTGATGCCTTTCCTTGTGTTAGTCCCCTCTAATCCTCAGAAAGCACAAATTACTACTGAAGGAGCCAAGTTCTTTTCCTTCTGCATGGTGTCTTGTGACAGGCCAGTTAATTTTATCTATGTCGGTTAAAAGGAAAGAGTAATTAAGAATTTATTTGGGTCTCCACCATGTGAGCTGTGTAATATGTTGACAAAGATAATGATACATAGTATAATATTACAGTCAATTGGAGCATCACAGACTCTGGATAAATCTGAACACTAATGCTATGATTTTCCATGCAAACATAGCAAGTTGTCTGAGAAATGACCATGTAGCAAGGCTCATGAAATTAAAGAAAACCAAAGTGAGCTTGCATTTCTGCACAAGACAATATGCAAGCATTTTTAAGGAGATGGCAACTATAAAATAACCACAGTTTTCTCAAAATCAGCTGAGTAGAGCATTGGCAGAGATACCCTGCAGACAGCCAGATCAGATAGCAAATGTTCAGTAGATTCCTACCACAAATTAAATTAATTAATTTCTATAAGATTACTTAAATAATTTTTTTTTCTTTTCCTCGATCAAGATCCAAGATCAAGATGTATTTTAATGAGAACAGAGCATTAGCTCTTAGCTTTACAGACCAGGAATGGATGATTTATTGCCCTGGTGGACAGCAAATTGAACACAGACCAGCCATAGGCTTTCATGATAAAGAGGGCCAGCAACCTCTGAGGCCTCATCAGGAAGAGCATTGCCAGCAGGTAAAGGGAAGGGGTCCTTCCTCTCTGCTCAGCACTGGTAAGGCCACACCTGAAGTCCTGTGTCCAGTTCAGGGCTCCCCAGTACGAGAGACATGGAGGTCCTCGATACTGGAGTGAGTCCAGCAAAGGGACACAACAGATGATTGAGGGAAATCTTTGAAAGCTCAGTCATAGAAGGTGAGGCTGAGAGAGCTGGGACTATTCAGCATGGGGAAGAGAAGGCTCAAGGCATATCTTATCAATAGGTATAAATACCTCATGAGAGGAAGTAAATTGATCCAGAGTCTTCTCAGTGGTGACTAGTGAAAGGATGAGAGGAAATGGACAGGAAACTGAAACACAGCAAACTCCAAATAAGTATAGGAGGGGTAGTTCTGAGGACTGGAACAGGTTGTCCAGGGAGGTTCTGGAGATCTTGGAGATATTTAGAACTTGACAGCACATGGTCCTGAGGACCCTGTTCTAGTGGACCCTGCTTGAATGGGGATCTCCAAAGGTTCCTTGAAACACCCCCACCAGTTCTGTTAGTCTGAATTTCCAGAAATTGTATAGAGTGTTATCCACAGTGGTCCTTCCCAAATGAAACCAAAATTAAGCAAGAAAAAGGTCATTATAAGAAGAGATGAGAATGAAGCAGTTTATTCTGGACAATGAAACCTCTCCTCGCAGAACCAGAGAAACTCTGCTCCTTTCCTTCGTCTAATTATTTCAGTCTATGCCCAAATTAGGCAAATAAACATGCACTGTATTCAAGACAGATGTAAATTACTAGTTACCTTACTAGAGCTGTAAACTGTTCTGTTGCTCATATGAACACTATATCATTTCATGGAGCTGTAAAAAACTCTATTTTTGTGAAAAAAAATTGTGAAAAAATTACAAATAATGTGAAACCAAATTTTAAAATAGATTCAATTACAAAGAACTTTGGTTTTTTAAAAGATAAAACAGAAACAATACAATAAAAATAGAGCATTATAAATAAAATACTTATCACTTTCAAAAGCCTATTGTTTTAAAAATCTGAAAATGAAATTTGCTTATGGATGATAATCTTTAAAAAATAAAGCACAATAAGACAGAACAAGCATGCATTTATTATCAAAATGTAGATATACAACTTGTAAAATACCACAAATGTACGTAATTGAAATGCTACAAAACAGAACAAAAAAAGGCTTTCATGTCAGTAATGTTTTGGATAAAGAGTGTTGCTTCCTATTCAAGGCTGTTCTTATCCGGAATAGATCCATGAAAACAGAGACACATGTAACTTCACATTTTATAACACCTAATTATGGATTTGAACAAATTTCTAATTTTTTTAGCTCTCCTTAATAAATTACTTTTCAACTCTGGCTTGGTCAGCCTATAGGTACTGATTAAAAGATCTTTCTTTTTCCTAGTTACAATACACTACTAATATTCCTGCATCCACTAAAATCATTAGCAAAACCTTGACTTAGCCAGAGTCACATCTTTTACTATTAAGCAGCATGTATAATGAACAATGTGAATACATTCACGCTGCAGATTTCTCAATGGGTGTTTGACCTATTTGACACTACATTCACGTATTTACATCATATACATCCATTATAAACTCAACAACAGATGCTCAGAAACTGCAGTTTAGCAGTTTCACAAAAATTCCAAATTGGACCATTTTTAATAACAGACACAGAGAGGATAACGTAAAGCCTTCAGAAAAACAAACAAACAAAAAACATATAACTTTGTCTCTTGCAAGTAGCCAGAATCTTGGCGATCTTGAGAGGCTGCCTAATGAATTGTTTCAAGTTTTGTTCCAGGATTTTTGAAGAGGAAAGTCAAACTTGCATATAAAATTGTACTTAGGTGCTGAAGGTCACGTTTCCAGTGACAAAGCCAAAGGAAGAGCAGGCTCATACTGGAAATGCTCAACTAGTGTGATCTGCGGGTTTGCAGGAGGCTAGAGATCCCGCTTTTTGAAGGAGTTAGGCTTCCTGGGGCTCCAGGGGATGAAGACCAAGGCATGTGTGGAGAGATGCTTTCCTCAGCCTCCCGGGTGAGCACGTGCCATGGAGCCGTGTCTCACTAGCTGCTGCAGCCTCTTGTGCATCCATGTCCTAACAAATTGTTGTTACGTCCATCTTGAAGTTTTCCATGGCTCTGAAGGGATGCTCTACTGTCCATACTAGAACTCTGCCCACTTTGATCCTGTTGTCTTCTTAATCTGCCAAAGGTTAATAACATTGATACAGTTACACTTGTCATGAGCAAACTACTTTATAAGAATAATGGCTGATGCCATCGTCTTACAGGTAGCACCTGTATATAGTGTAGACCCCTGCACTATTTGATGTTATTCACTTCCCTAGCTTAACAGCTGCCCTCAATTTTTCCTTCTCAATACTGATGAAATCCTTGTCCTCTGTGCTGGTTAAATCCTACTGCCACTAAAGCTGGCCAGCTGAGCCTGAGTGGTTGTTTCTTTCTTTTTCTTTGTGATCTTACATCTCTTTTCAGACTGTAACTCAACAAAGTTTCTTGCTCTTGGTTGATGAGGCACACAACAGGAGATAAGCAGCTGCTTCCCTCCACTATTGTACAGAAGTATTAGTAACCTCTCAACAGTATGAGAAAAAAGAATTGAGATCAAAGGGTGAGTAGAATATTCTTCTTATTATTTTTAGATATTGTCAAAACCTCCTAACTGGTTTTAAGTAGAAAAAAAAAATTCAATGCTGTTTAGGAACTGCAAAGCCATGTTCTTTAGACACTTTTCTATAAAATAACAATAACCATAGCAGAATGTGTATTATCACCAATCACTTTATCATCAAAATTCTCAGCATTTTCATTCAACACTGGTATCAGCTTTGGTGATATTATGTTTGTTGTGATCCTTGTTGTTTTTGTCCAACACAAGGGCACAATGTATTTTCATGCGAGTAGGTAGACTGATGTACAAGTTATGAGGTAGAAACCATTTTTTTAGAAAACATTAACAGATGTTTTTGGAGCATATTTTCTCTAACTAGCTGCTTTTACAAAATGAGAAACAGCTGTTGGTGCATTCCCAGAAAAAGGCACCAAAGAGTTGGTTTCAGATGTACCTATGGAAGAGGAATTTCATAACAGTGAGTATAACTAGTATATATCATATACTTCAGCAAACCTTCTCAAGTAACATTTAATACATATAAACTACTTAATAATGAAAAAGGCATGCAAAAAGGCAATTTAAAGAGTCAGTTAAAAGGGTAAAATACTTGCATATGGCATAAAGACTATGAAGATGCCATACTAAAGACTCAGAGGAAAATTTGAAAGGACTTGAAAATTCCATCACGATTAAATGGAGGATTAAAAGAGAGCATTTAAAGTAAAAATAGCGAACTCCCTGTCCAAACTGGCTATTTTTAAAAGACCAAAAACACTATTAGGTTAAGACGAAAAGAAAAAAAAAGAAAAAACATTTTAAGGAACAAATTGCTAAAGGCATTAAGCCTAATAATAGTAATTTTTTTCAGGTGCACCAGCAATAGGACGCATGCTGGTGAGCCTATATGCCGATGTGTGATTGAGACTTTAGAGGAGAACACAAGAAATATGAGTTCCTAGCTAAGAAGTCAATGAATTTTCTGCCCCAGTATTGGTGACAGAGGAGTTAGGGACATTCCTCTCTTTATGAGAAATTTGTCTATCATCTCGAGTCAATCTGTCAGTAGCATAACTTTAGAACAGATCTTTCAAATTAATGTTGACAAATCACAAGGACAGAGGATTTTCACCCAAGGACTCTAGGAAAACTGAAATACATAGTTTCTAGACAACTGAACAGAGCATGTAACTTCTTGTTAAAATTCTCTTGTTACCAAGAAAAGGAAAGCAGCAAAGGTGTTTTATTTATATATATATAGATCCATTTGTGGCAAGGTCTTCAAAAGAGATTTAGGAAACTACAAGAGGAATGTTTGACCCAGCAAAGTCTAGAACAACATTAGGTTGTTGTTGGTTACTGACCCCTCAGATGTCTATAGGCATCAAGAGAAGAGGCTACAGTGCTTGGAAATTGATATGCCTTTACAAGCTAAATGATGAAATGAGGCAAATTTTGGCTCCGTGGAGATCTGAAGAATCACTGTATTGATCCAAGTCATTCAAGTAGTTTTTCCCTGATGTTGTTTAATATTTCTTTGTTCCATCAAATGCTGAAACACAAATGATCTACTGCTCTTCCAACGTTAACAGGGAAATAAGAAGTCTCACAATAACAGCACAAAGCAGAAAAGCATCAAGGTTTTCGCAGACCATTTTAATTCTTCCAAGACCATTCAAACTGGCACTAAGAAAGACAGAGAAAAAGAGAGAGAAGCCCATGCTGAGTTCAAAAAGCACCAGCCTTGCATTTCTCATTCTCTACAGAGATCATTTCTATTGCTGATTTATTTCCAGAGGGGAAATAACCTTTGAAGCTCTCATTCAGTGCTGAAACAACATTCCAGTCTGAAATACCTTATCCTTGGTGGATCAAACAGTGTAAATGTAGGAGCCATTGTAGCCATTGTATACCTAGATATTTAACGGCATTATACAAACCTGCTCTGAAGTTACCATTTTGTTTAATTTCAATGAATTTCTACACTGTCATGTGAAGGCAATGTTCCTCTGAATTTCTTCAGTGCCACCGACTGAAGTTAAACAGCTGACAGTTTGCAGTCCCATCATGGACTCAAGCTTAGACTTCTACACCTTCCCTACTGGCTTGGGCTATTATTGTAACATAATTAGATTACGGAAGTTTGGAAGTGCCAAAGAAATATCTCTGTTTTAGCACTGCTTTATTGTATTTCATTTTCATATTTCTATTTCTGTATCTGGATTCACTAACCACAACTTACAAACTATTAAAGTAAGCTACAGGTTATTAACCTGATGGTATAACCAAATTGAACTATTATTAAAAACTTAAATATTATTAAATTATATAATAATTTATCCTGCACTTCATTCAGTATTTGAAATGATATGAAAGACTTTAAAGTTCTTTTATTTTTTATTGCAGGATACATGGATGACATAATAGTGTGTCTTACTAGTTAGGAGAATGGGTCTAAGAATCAGGAGATACTGATTCTCTTTCCAGCCTCTGCCACTCGAGGGAAAACTACAATCCTTTTGTGTGCATCAGCTTCCCTGGTTGAAAAGTGGAGACAGAGTAGGGGGGTTGGAGGTGATCAGGAGGAATACTTATCCAGAAATATCACATGGCTTGGGGCTAGTCATGAACTTGAGCTGCAAAAGCTGTGACTAAGAACTCAAAACAAAGAGAAAACTGAAATCGTGACTGGTTTGATGAAACTTTGTGTTCTTGTCAAATCCATTCTTGTGGTTGACTTTTAGGATAAACTGGCAACAGAGTATGCTGCAGACTTGGACTTGCAGCATTCCTCCTTTCCTTTAGGAAAAGGAGACAAGGAGCAGTCTAAGGAGCAAGCAATTTTACAGGCAGAGTAAGTCATTCCTTGCAGTGCCCATCAGATGATGAGTTAAGGGATGAGAGGGATGTAAGTTGGAAGCTTTGTGGTGCCTGTAAGTCCCGCTCTGTGCCCCACATGCCTGAATGACACAGAGAACTAGCATCTCATGCCTGCAGTGGTTAAAGAAGATGGCATATATAATCATGAAAAAATGTTATTGTACTGTATATGTAATTACATTTACATGCATATATAAAAATAAAAAAAAAGAGAGTAGATGGTTGGCTAAATATTAGCACAGAAAATACAATATTGAAGAAAAAGGCTGTTACAAATATGTCAAGCTGGAGTGCAAATCATAAGCATTTAATGAAACCCACTGCCGAAGTTGGGAATCACCAGGGAAAAACTTGAAGCTCCAGGATTAATTTGCTCCATTTTTCTGAGCAGGTGACAAAATATATTGGAAGTTTGTCTTTAGTCTGATGTCTGCTGGGATATATCCAATGGAAAAGGTATGCTAAAAGCCTAAGGCACAGGAGATGCCCAATCACAACCATTTAATCAGTTTCAGAAATATTCCTGGGGGGATGCATGGTCACCAAAACCACTTCATTTTGATCCAGAAGTAAAAGAAGATAGTTAGTCTGTATTTCTGTCCAGTTTGAAATTGCAGGAGGGCTCAATCTAACATGTGAACTGGTCTATTTATTTAGAAGGTTGGATAGCTGCAAACAGAAAAAAATATGTCTCATTCATCCATTCTTAGCTATTTTGGAACAAGTTTTTGTCAGACAGCTTTTTAAAAATGTGTGTAGCTTGATACATTTTCTGTGTTCAGGGCAAAACAGATGTGAGAGATGGGCCATTTGGTTTTAAATATGGCACTAGTCCAACAAATTCTTTGTAAGAAATTGCCTTGCAATGAATGACTTATCTTGCCTTTAAGCTGATGCAGCTGCAGGCTCTGATGACTTTTTAGATAAAGGCCCAGAGGGAAAAAAGGCTGAAGAATAGCTCGATGGTGACCTAGCTATTGTGGATCCAAAACAGGTTGCTGTTCCTTTTCTAAATGCTATAACAAAGAGTAAAATGGACAACAGCAGTAAAAGAAAAAGAAAAAAAAAAAAGCAAACTATATGGAGGAAAATTTGCAGGGAAAAGTAGTAGAAAATGAGTTTGCACAAAGTCTATCTAATTTACCACAGAAGAAATCTGTACCAATAGAATAGATAAGTAGTCTGAGGAACAGTTATGCTAAGAATTAAGATTAAATCTGCTGACCCAACAGAATTACCCTTTCCTTCACCATTGATCTGTACACATGTACGACAGGGACCATTGTACAACTGTTTCTTCAGTGGCAAAGAAAAAGGGATCTCTACCAACCACCAGGGAAGGATATCAAGAAGAGTGACTGTTGCACCTTGGCCCTCATCAGTAGTTTAGTAAAGAAAAAATGTCCATGTGAACTATGCAAAATTTTGAAAGATTCTTATTACCTTGATACCCAGAAACCCTAGCAGATATTCTGCAGTATTTGTCTCCAGTACTGGATCTGGAGGCAGATATTTGTGAGTGGAACAAAGGACAGGTAAAAATGGATCATGTGGTGCATAAAACCTGTAGCAACATAAAGCAATGGCATCAGGCCTTCAAAATGTTCCTGACCTGTGTGGGAGTTTTATGGAGACTATTACCCCGCTTGTCACTCTCCATTTGTTTGTAGCCAGTCAACAGGTCAGAGACT